ATCCAATCTAAACGATTATATTACTAAGACTGTGGTATATTTTTCTAAATGAGCCGTACATATCTGTAATTTGTATTTCAGGTAATCTTCGAAAAGTGTAAACAAACATTTATGGAACTTAATTTGGTATTGATATGTCAGAAACGAATAAATATCTTAGAATTATATTAAATGACTTAAACACTATTAAATCTTGATGCGATTCGAACCTCCTGAGTCTCAACATTTCTAAAACTAAAGCTTTGTCGTATAAAAACTCGCTGCAGCCTTTTGTACTTAACAACACCGCCATTGACGTCGTAAAATCTGTAAAATTCTTAGAGGTTGTTGTAGACAATTCTCTGAAATGGGACATGCATATCGACGCTTTGTCGAAAAACTTAAGCTCTGCCTGTTTTGCATTAAGATCTGTTTCTAAGGAGCTTAACTTGTCAGTGGCTAGAACTGTTTATTATGCACTTTTTGAGTCGCACCTCAGATATGTCCTTCCATTCTGGGGTACGTGTTGTGCGACTCAATTTGACCGCATTTTCAAGCTCCAGAAGAGAGCTGTTCGATATTCACTGGGACTAAACAACAGTTCTCATTTCAAACTCATTTCCAGGACTTTTTTAAAAAAATAAAAATATTAACTCTTCCTTCCTTATTTATATTTGAATCCGTTTGCCTAATACGTAAGCATGTATCAGCTTCTCAAGAAATGCCATCTCATACTTATCCACTCAGAAATGCGGAGCAAGATCTTTATCTACCTACCCCACGCTCAGAGTTAGTTAAAAGTTCAATATTATACAACTCGAAAAAAATGCACAATCACCTGCCATTTGAAATCAAATCCATAACATCATTTTCTTCATTTCGCAAAGCATTGAAATCTTATTTATTAGACAAAGCTTTCTACGCCGTAAATGACTTCAAAAGACAAAAGACATAAAGACAAAAACTATAAGACTGACAATGTAATTTGTATACTTGTTTTGTATTCTCTTTTGTTTGTTCACTTTACCTTTGTCTACAAATTGTAAAATTTTTTGACAATAAAGGCATTTATTTATTTATTTATTGAGTTATTTATCTAGTAAGTTTAATTCAAAAATTTAATTCTTTTCTTCTTTTTTTTTTTTTTCTTCATACATTTATAATCATAAATATACGTCATATATTATAATATTATATTTTCTATCTCTAAAGAGACTCTGAATTTATTTTCTTCATATTAAATTCTTACGCTGAACCTCAATATTCGCCACGCTATTGATAGCATTTTACCTTTCACGTACAAGCATTCAAAGAATTTTTCTTTATTTATTACTTTGACTCCGTTTCCATTTGAACAGCAATGTAATTTTCTCTATACAATACTGAATACATTTCCTCCGCCGCAATCTAGAGCCCTTTACCAATTTTCCAAACTTCTAAAGTGTGTAGGTAACCCAATAATTCTATTTTTAGAAAGAAGTCCGTAGATATCAAATAAAGCTCTCTATCTAAAAAATATTTTTTAATATTCCAGGGGTTTATTTTTATTATAATATTTCAGAACTGCTTCTAATTCTTATTAATTCAGTTTAGCAATAGAGCTTTTACCTACATTTTAATAATTTGTGATAAATCAATTCACTAAAACAAATCTGTCAACACAAAATTAAACGATATTGACATAGAAAAAATTTGTGAAATATAAAAATGTACTGTTTATTGTTCTGAACCTTTTCATATTCAAGACATTCTCTAACCACTCTGCTGCTGGTATGGAGAGGTGCATTATCGTGCATGAAAAAAATATTAAAATTAAAATATAACATTAAAATGATCCCCAATTGCAGCTCTTCAAAGCCTAACGATTGGTTCTAGCACTAAATCAACATACTTCCGACCGGTTAAAGTTTGTTGAAGTGGTAATAATGGAGTTTTTGCTTCTAGCATAATACCTCCCCAGAACATTACAGTTCCTCCTTTATATGTTACAGATACAGATTTGGCAGCCTGGAGTCTCGCACTTCTTCTTGGAGCTCAGAGAACCTGAATTCGATGGTTATCTGATCCTAGGCCAATTTTGGTCTCATCCGAAATAAGAACATTTTGCCAATTCTCAAATGTCCAGTTTTGACGTTGAAGGCACCAATTTAGCGGGTCAATTTTATTTTGCCGAGATAAATGTGGGATCCGTAACTCTCTCCTGCTGTAAAACCCTCGAGCACTAAGCCTTTTTCTTATGGTTTCAACTGAAACGTTCACACCTGTAGCTGCCAGAATTTGTCTTTGTAGCTCATGATGAGAAACATTGGGATTTCTTCTAGCAATTTGGCACACAAAACGGTCTTGTTCTTCAGATGTTGCGACTCTTTGACGACGTTGTCTGAGACTGTTCTTGAGAGTTCCTAATTCCAAGTACCTTGCACATGTTTTCGATACAACACCCCGGGTAACGCCTACTATCAATGCTGCGTCTCTTTGGGTCATTCCTTGTTCAGTGGGAGCAATAATTCTTCCTCTCTATACATCTCTTAATCCAATATAAGGCATTTTAATTTTTTTTTTTGGATAGAATGGAAATTACCCGACAATCGTGATTTTACTACTGAACACAAAATTCGCAAGAAAATAAATAGCAGCTGTCGTTTATTCTTTATTATTATTTTTATTTACAACAAAAAAAAGTAATGTAAAGATTTCAGTTAACGTCTCCTTTTTGCTGCCAGGGCTAATCTGAACGGGGTCTACTTTGTTTACGCGGAATCCAAACCGCGATCGTCGGCTATATCATGGTCAATGGCCTACCGACTTAGGAAGTGTCTAAATCAACTCTTACTCACGAGATATCCGATCTCATCCGGCCTCGAACCGGCGTGAACGAGCAGTGTATCAATAGCTTTTACACTTTTGTGTATCATAGCTTTTACACTTTTCCCTTAGACAACAGCACGATACAGAGTTTCGAACCGGTCATCCGTCCATCCACCAGTATCGCCTTACGTCGCTTGACTTCGGTGTTCTAATGGGAACCGGTGTTTCAACGTCAAGCTAGGCCGTTGCCTTTTTTACAACAAAAAGCCTTATCTTAAAGTTCTTTACCATTTTTTTCCTCTGCAAAAAGTTTAGTCAGAAATAAAGAATGATTCCATATAAGTTTGGTTGGATGGCATATACACGCCTTTATTTTGCTTCTCATTTTATTATTTCTCTAGAAACCCTATTGGGTTTATACAACGAGCGATATCTCAATAAAGGCATTTTATTTATCTGGTCGAAACATACCAATCTTCCTAATTTAACTTAATATAGATGAAAGCATGGCATATGTATGTAGAAGAGATAGCACTGTACCTAAAGCAATTCATTATTTATTTAAAAAATCAGAAACGCAACATGAAACTCGGTCTTGTGATGACCAAAAAGATCTGAACCCTAATTGGTAGTATTAATTAGAGTTTCCAGAATCCTACTAAAATATTTTCGTTCAACGATTATGAAAGTTAAACCGATAAAAATTGATTTCCAAATGAAAATAATATCAAATTATTAAGTCATGAGAAAGTAAACATGAACACAAGCGAAAAAAACACATAGGTAGCTTAAAAATTACATCAAACAATATCAACCAGCCTCGAAACTAACTTAACTAAATTAGAAAAAAAAACTTAACATTTTCAATTAAAGATGCAAATGCCTATAAAAACATAAAACACAACAAAATATAACTAATACATTCAGCAATATTATACTAAATAATAAAATAACATATTTAAACTCCAATACCTAATTGCTAATAAACATTATAGAAACTTCAAAATAACTTCAGAAGTAAGAACAGTAAAATATAGCATCGCTACTTATTTAGAAGAGTTTGATTTCGAACGCTAGAAAGTATAAATCGCACGTTATATAAATATGTTTTTAATTGTTATTATTACCGAGTCCCGAAAGTACCGAAAGAATCGGGAATTAATACTTTCGAGTCCCGGTTCTCTGATGTCTCAAAAGAATCGGGAATTCCCGGTACTTTCGGTACCGGGATTCTGAACCCCCGGTCCCTAGTCTTCACGTGGCTGATATTTTACTGGGAATCAGTAGCGGCCTCGCTTTTAATGTTATACTTTGGTTTATCTGTGGTCTCTTCACGCTGAAAATTTTTCCAGTTGATTTGCTCTTTGTCAGAAATATGTAAGTACATACATAGGTATATAGAAAGATTAATTATTGGTTTTCTTTTTGTTAATAATAAATATGTGACAGAATTTTTGGTTATTACATTAACTTAGTGAAAACACTTAAATTTTCTTTCATTTACTTTTTTTTATTCATCAAAATTTTCTTCTTATATTAGATACGTGAATTAGTTTTTACTTTTTGCTAGAATTACTTTTAAAATTTTCCACTTTTCAATTGAAATGGAGTGGAATCAAGTCAAGAATACGTAGGAAAAAAAATAGAAGTAATATATTTAAGATTTAATTCTGGATAAAAAGGTATCTTTAGTTTTTTCGCAAAAAATATACAAACGGAGACATTTGAAAAAAAAATCTAAGATGGCATTTGCTTTTACGAACGACTCGCGACGCCGACGCGAAGAGGAAGAGAGAAGTTTGTACATGTATGCCACAACGGCATAAAATTAAAAAAAAGAATACATACATTTCCCTGCTTTTATTTAAAGATAGTATCCACCATCTCCTGTTACGTCTTTTTTGCTTCTGTTGCAACAGTTTAGCGCAACTTAAAACATCATCATCATATCGGCGGCAATCTCAGCATTTAATCTATTATCCATATCTTCCCAAGCCAAAAAAACTTACGACACTGACTTAACTTCATAAATGTAGCGCCAGGTTTGCGTCCAACGTTGGAAGCATCGTGTAGGAGACACATTTGCAAATAATTGCAACATTGTCGAAAACTGTGTCAAATGTTGGTTCCAACGTTGGACGCATCGTGTAGGACCGTCTTATGGTAACATTTTCCAGATGTTTTCTCGGCTTAGAACAGTAACAAGGTCTTACCTCGACAACATTGCGTTATTCGTCCCCGCCGGATCGAGCAATCCCTGTCCCGGCGTCGTCGACCCCAGGAACACCCCTTTCCTCGTCGGCGGTTCGGTCCTCGACAGTATGCTCGATATAGAGAAATTCGTCGACTTCTGCGTGGCCGTGATCTTCCCCGTCTCCCTCTCGTCCCTCTTCTCGTCATCCTCATCACCAACATTCCTTACACCAGCCGCCGAGTAACACGTAACCGTACCACCAAGTCTGTGCTCCGCCAGCATAGGACTTCCGGTCCTGCTCGACGACTCCGGTGACGACACTACGTTCACCTCGATCTCCCTGACGGGTGAGGCCATATCTCCTCGCACGCGGAAATACCAGCAGCAGATAAAATACAGTTAGGACACCACAAAGACGACAATCAAACAAACGCCGCAGCACCGCGATGATCGGTTCAAAGTCCACACTGGCGCGTCGCGTCCGGGCGAATGTTCGGACGGCATTCGGTGCCGAAAAGAGGGCGTATATGGCAAGGACACACCCCCGAGGGCCGAAACACCCTTGCGTCTTTGGCGGCGTCCTCGTCTGGCCCGAGGGCGAGATAGGGGTGTGGTCTCTGTCTCGCGCCGCCGTAGGGGTGGGTAAATGCTGCGAGATGGGGATGGCGCGAGGGGTGTTTGATGGAACGCGGGCTCGGATTAGCGTTTGTCGATGTTTATGGGGGTAATTTCGGCGGTGGCGGCGAGATCGTTTCTGTTAATTTGTGTGCGGCGAGCCTAATCTAAAACCTTGCACGGGCGAGATTCACGGACGCTATAAAAACTGGGGGTTTGGATGTCGTTGTGTCGAATGTTGGAGTGTTGTTTTGTAGGAATGTAATAAAAGCATAGTATAAGGAAACTAGTAGCTTTACTACTTGTCAAATCCTTTGTTCTTTTTCTGCCACTTTATAACCTTGTTCTCGCGTCCCGTGACCACTGACGTAGCTAGGCAAAGTATAGTCGTGGCACTCGCCATAGTTTCACAGAGATGTAATTCGGAAAATATGAGTTCACAATAAAATTAAATTAAAAAAATTGATCATCGAGTAAAAAATTGCTTCAAAACAGAATATTTTCACATTTCGCTAAGTAACAATTTTTCTGTATCTGAAAATCGTCTGATGGGAAGAAATGCGGAAAAAATATATAATGACATATTTTTATATTATTATCTATTTCAAAGATTTTCTACAACTTTTTTTTAATTTAAAACATGTTTAGTTTTAACATTAATGTGTTTGTTTTGTAGTAATATATTGGTTACGTGATTTTCATTGGATAACTAATAAATCGAACAACACATTGTACTAAATAATAAAATAACATATTGAAACTTCAACAATTGCTAATAAACATTACAGAAATTTCAAAAGAGAAAAGAAGCAAGAACAATGAGAAATAGCATCACTACTTTCTCACGTAATAAAAGACTAATTTTTTAGTTATTGTTACCGAGTCCCGAAGATACCGTAAGACCGGGAATTAATAATTTCTGAACTCTAGTTACCATATTATCAAGAAATTATTTGTTTTTATTTTATGTTTTTTTAACTAAAAACGAAAAAAATTTCTAGATTTTTTTTTCAAATAAAAAATTGCGCAGAAAAATCCTCATATTTCTGGGGTCAAAATATACTACCCTTAAAAATATTTGCACTTATTTAAGACTCACCCTGTATAGGGCGATTCACGGTTATGGTACGTTATTGCGTTTGCAGAACCGGAGCTGTTTTTCGGAACCGGTAATTTCGGTACCATGCCTCTAAGGGACCGGGATTTCTAGTTTTTTTTTCGGTCTTTCGGTACTAGCAAATTTTTGTTCAGTGATGGTGCAGTTCGTTAAACAGTAAGCAAGGGATGGTTGTCAAAAGTAAAATCGATAAAAAAATTGAGGTTTAAATGAAAATAATACCAAATTATTCAGTAGTAATCAGTCATGAGAATTAACCTGAACACAAACAATCACAACTGATCACAAATGACTCACAAAAAAAAAACCTTAAAGAATATTTTTTTGAATTATTACTACAACCAATAGCAGCACACTGTAAGGCACTCATTTTTTGCCAATCCGTTTCTGTGCTGGGACGCAACGCTCGAACTTCGCAGGTAGACGGACGGAACTCAACTGAAACGCTGTGCAATCTGCCGATATTCGACAGATTGTAGAAACTGGCAGAAAATATTTTGGAGAGTGCAACTACTCTTTTCCTTCTACTATGATAAAAGGATTTATAGGAAATTAAATATTCTAAGTGGAAAAACTGAAATAAATAAATTCAAAAATATAAATATAATTTTATTTGTTCTACAGGGAATCTAAGAGCACAGACTTCTCAGTTGTCCTCCACTTATAAAAAAATGTCGAAACAGCAGCAAAATATACATATAAGTGTTTAACTTTAACGTTTTGAGTGACAAAATACCCCGTTTCTCATACTAAGTCGCTCAATTATTTAAATTATGAAATATATGCAATTACAGACTTCACACACAGATGTTCTAAAATACTACATACATAGTGTTCACAGTCAGTAGGTAAGTAGTTTGATTGATATAACACAAAGTACTTTTAGGAGAAAAAAACCAGGGTTGGCACGATTTAAATCAAATGATTTAAATCAAGTGATTTTTTTAATTTTAATCATGTGATTTAAATAAAAAAAAATTATTGAAACTTCATAATAAATCAAAAAATAACTGTAAAAGTTATAAAACTGTGTCCTAGAAAACTAGAAAAAATATTTCTATAACAGATAATAAATCGAAAAATAATTGTAAATGTTATAAAACTATATAAAAATATCTATTCATCAATTTAAATGTTGGACCGATTTTTCAAATACTTTCGTGTGAATCCATTAGACCGCTAAACGCAGGGATTTATTTTAAAATTTATGTACCTATAAGTGACAAAGATTCGCTGTTCAAATACATATCATTCGCAATGTCTAGTGCAGAACTAGGTTCTTCTGATATAGAGACTATGTTATCTTCATTCCCGAGAATCTATACTAATCGTTGTCAGAAAACGAAATGTTTTATTTTTTTTGAAACGGTTGTATGTTTCCAAATTCCTACCGACATTTTGATCTGCAGTAAGTACTTTACACTTTGGCATTAGATAATACATACTAATTTCATTCTCGACTTAAGACTATTTCCGAACAATAGTGTATTGTTTTATTAGGAGTAAAAATTAAACTTTTTTTTGAGGATGCTGTACCTTTGAAGGACCATCATAAAGCCGGGTCCACATATGTAGCACTCTATTGTATCAGGATCATGTATCACGTATCAAGAGCTGGTATCGTAAGTATGGACGTTTATTTGGGCTGTGTCGACTGAATATGCATATCGTGCCAAAGTAAGCGTCCATACTTATAAAATTCATACGTATCAGCGTACAAGCGTGCGTATCAGTGTATGTGGACGGTACAACAAATCACCTTGTATCGTCGTATCGTGTTCATCAATTCTCATTTATATTATCAGGACGGAACCCTCGATGCCCCTTTGATGATCGGAGAAAAACCGCCTCAAGATGGGTCACCGCATATCAAGTCAATTGTATCGTTCTACTGTATCAAAACACGTCCAAATGACAGATCGTGATACGTGTATCCGATACGCAGTGTTAAGATACGCGCCAAAATTCGGATTGGCATGTATCAGATACGGTATCACAAAGGTGTACCATATGATCGCGTTAATTCTGCGTCCAAACTAGCGATCATGATACATGTTGGGGCAACGCGACGGAGATATGATACACCCCCTTTGGAGATTGCTACATATGTGAACCCGGCCTAAAGCTATTCCGATGTTACAGGGAGGCACAAAAAGTACATTTTTACTCCGAATAGAACATACGATTTATTTTAAAACATTACAAATAATTTTTTAATCAATTTCAAACATTGCAAATAATATGAACAGTAATCGAGCAACAATTTATACACTCGTTGAATTTGGCACTTAATATCAGTTTAATAATATATTTTTTTACTTTTGTGCTTAGGCGTAACAATGTTTTACTTTTATGCCTAGGCGTTAAAATGACAAAAGTTAATATCTTTGAGATGTTTGGAAAAAAAAATCCTTCGGATCTGAACCGAGCAACTTTTTTTGCGGAATTATATTGGTGATCGATGTGGAAAAATGACACGCGCCGTAGAATTGTTAATGTTATTGGTATCAGTAGGCAGAGTTATATAACGATTTAGCCATTTAGGATAAGACTAATTGGAAATAAGTCCTAGTCATTTGGAAATCCGATTTAAATAACGTTTTGAATTAAAATCAAAAAAATCTGATTTTTTTGATTTTTTATAAAAAATCATGATTTTTCCCAACCCTGAAAAAAACTAGTACTTTTAGGAGAAGAACTTGAATTTTTGATATATAGGTTATCTACTTTGAAATCCATTTTAAAAGATTTTTTTTAAATTCACCCCCGAGAGGGGTGAAATAAATAAAATTATTTTTTCGAAATTTCGGGGAAACTGTAAGAAATAGGAAAAAAGTTTAAATAAAAGTTGTAGAGCGTCAAATTTTACATAGGACTATGACTTTCTATCTTTTTTTACTCAGATCAAAATTAACCGACATAGGGTGGCTAGAAGCTAGGGGATGATAATTGAATAAACTTATAAAAAAGTATAAGTCGCTGAAAAATTCATATATTTAAAATTTTTATTCGATTTGTTTGGAAAATTATAAATTTCAATTAAGATTTTTTTAAATTCATCCCTAAAAGAGGTGAAAAATATAAATAGTGTTTTTTTTCAAATTTCAGAGAAACGAAGAACGGTAAGGACTTTGAAAAAAATGTTTCAAAAAAAGTTGCCTCCTAGCTTCTAGCCACCCTATCCCGATTAATTTTGATTTGCGCAAAAAAAGTATACTTAGAGATAATTTTTATGTAAAATTGAACGCTGTAAAACTTTTATTTGAACTTTTTTTTCTAGTCTTTACCGTTTCTCCGAAATTTCGAAATAATAATTTTATTTATTTATCTTCCCGGGGTGAATTTAAAAAAAAATCTTACATTTCTTTTGTAGATCTTGCAAAGTAACTTATATCAAAAAATTAAATTTACCAAATCTTGTGTTTAAGTTGTGAAAAAATCGGTTTTAATTTTTTTTCTCTCTCTGTATGTGTTTTTTTGGCAAACTATGTATACCAAAAATTTTAACTAATCAATCTGCATCGATCCACGCCCAAAAATCTTTTTTATTTAAAAGCTTAATTTTTAGTATACATAGTTTGCTAAAAAAATACATACAGGGAGAGAAAAAAAGTAAAAACCGATTTTTTCACCACTTAGCTGATAAATTAAAATCTACTTTAAATCAATAAATCTCTAAAACTACTGAACGAAAGTACATGATAACTTATATCATTAAAAAGGGGATTGAAAGACCTTTCAA